AAAAATCGAGGTACAAATGAGGTATAAACGAGGTATATTTGAAAGGTATAAAGGAGGTTGTTATTTAAACACGTCGTTAAGGTTGAAAAGAGTGCAAATAATTACCTCAAAATCAACTTCAAATATACCTTAGATATACCTCCAGAAATATATATCTTTCAACCTGAGGTGTTTAATTTTACATCTGTGGAGAGGTAGATATTTACTACTTTAAAGTGTTTTATTTTCAACCTTAGGTTATTACTTATCAGCCTGAAGTTTATTTTTTTACACTTGTGGAAGTATTTTTTCAACAAACTAAGGTGTGTCATTTTACACTTCAGGTTATTATAAATCAACCTCAGGTGTATTTTGTTCTACTTCAGGTAATTATTTTTCAACCTCGGATATATAATTTTATGTTTGTAGAGGTATATATTTATCAACCTGTGGGGCGTCGTTTTACACTTCTGGTTGTTATAAATCAACCTGAAGTGTATTTTCAACACTTGGAAAGGTTATTTTTTTATTAACGTCATGTGTTCCATGTTCTACCTCAAGTTATTATTACGTAACCTGAAGTATATATTCTTGTATTTTTAGAAGTATTAATTTATCAACCAAAGATGCGACATTTTACTCGTCAGGCTTATGTAGCTCAACCTAAAGCTGTTTTTTCAGTACTTACGAATGTGAGGTGTTCACCTAGTTGATTAATTTTTATAAAAAATATAATATATATATAAAGATATCTATATATATATATTTCTCTTACACGGCACCAAAAAAAAGCCTCATTACAACTCCCCGAATGGCAACGTTAGAAAATCGACCAATGACTACTGCTAAAAATGTCACATGGCAAATCAAGATGAGGTGGCTCAACATATAGCGCTTTTAAAAACGGAAACAATAACCAGAGTGAGCATTATCAAGTTGTTCAATTCAGATTCATGCCCTATAAACATGATAATACATTACATGAAATGGTTTCTTGGAAAAAATTTAATTGAAACTTATGTACACGAATGTTATTTAATATAGAGTTTGATTTCAATAATGCTGATCACCAAAAAATGTTTCATTTGGCGATAAAACAAATTTTTGTGTTCTTGAAAATTAAAGACTTTTTGAGGGTTATTATCTCACAAGGAAAAGTTAGGGTTTAAAGTTTATATTTTTAAATAATAAAATTTTTTTCTAAAACTTTCAGAATTTCTAGCATTAACTAATTTATTATACACATTTAGTTGAATTTAGGTGAGTAACTGCAATATTTGATAA